ACGCCACTTCCTAGCATCAACCTCAGCAGAAGGAAGGAAGGAGGGAAATATATGCCAGAATGAGGCGAAAAATGCTTCGCCTTTTGTCGGCAAATTTAGTTCTGAATATCAACTGAAGTTTCATTTGGTACTATTACTTCTATTACCATTATTATTATTATTATCATTAATAGTCTCGCGCACTTAAAAACTATCCGACCAAAAAGGTATGCAGCGGTGAATTATACTCAATCTGCCTTACTATCAAAGCAAGCCAAGCAACATATTTGTAGACAGTTGTCGTGATGTGTGTGTAAATGACAAATTCGATTCAACAGTCATTACTTATATGATAGATTAGAAATTTTCCGAATGAATAGGCGTGTATATTGTAGAATCAGTTTGATGGAGTAATGCTTAATTATTGCTATCATACCTCCACTGTGCTTTGAAATTTCTGTCGTGACTGCTTTGATTTCTTTCGATAGAGTCTCTAGACCTACGTCCAACCCCCCCCCCCGCCTATTTTCCGGATATGGACTGTCTAACAAATTAGTGAATTTGGTCAACTAGGCGACTTTAAAAACCGGAGAGTACTGGATGGCTAGTTGGTCCTGGTTTCAGACTCTTCGGCAGTATGGATCCACCGACGTTCGAGCTCAGCAGCTTTCATCTAAAAGGTGAGCTAGTAGACCATTCAGCCACCAGGCAGTCTGACCCTGTGGCCTACCCGTAAATTTTGAATTCTACGAATTCGTGATATAAAGCACAACAGTCAGTGTCATTGGCGGGAAGCTGTTCTCTTACTCCACTTGGTCGATGAACACAGTCTATGAATAAATAACAAACCACTGATACACTGAGAGGCTTACATAATAAGAATAAGAATATTGATCGCTTGTCCTAAATTTTTTTAGGATTTAAGATAAGTGAGACAGTGGAATCGTGTGATGTATCCACCTCTCCAAAAAAATCTATGGATACATATATATATGGACGGCCACAGCTGATTTGGATAGAATCTTATCAGCTGCATTCCTGGCATCTCTTAGCTATCCAACATAACTATTTTTCATTCCTAGTAGTTTGAATGAAATACGGGACCTCCGTGAAGAATCCAGCGCTGCTCTCGATTCTCTGCCATCGTTTCCAGCTGGATCCACGACTGCTAGTAAGTATTCGTTTCCTCTTCGCATGATCACTTCCATGACATGCTTGGACTCCCAAACTACAGCTTTCTATTCGTGTTCCTCTCTATGACCTGGTTGGCATGTGATGTCAAGTGAATGTCTCCTGAGTACCGAAATCATCTCCACTTGTCGGGTTTTAGTTTCTTGCCCGCTGGTTTCCCCTAAAACTTACTTGTTGCTTAGCGTTTGATTTCTAGTTTCGAATGAAGGCATTTGTTGATGAAGGTTCGCGCTAATGTGTCGGAAATGCTTCACGTGAATCAAATAGAAGCACAAAAAGCATTTAAATTAAGTAAACTTCTTCATAACATAGTGAATGTGAAGAAGTGGGTTGGTAGACAGTGACCAATAGTAGAATCTGGGATGCTCATTCCGTCATCTGTAAGTACCTGAATTCCTATTGAGTGATGTCTCTGCTACCAAGGCTCATACCATCATTCATTTGTTATGCACGTTATTTCAGCTCACGAGTCTACGATAGGATAGGATCAGCATCCCTGATTCTACTCCTAGCTACCATCAACTAAAATACTTCAATTTAATCCTCAGAAATCATCAACGCTTCCGTATGCGTGACCAGTGCGTCAACACAGAGGCCGAAGTTTTCGAACAAAAGAATCAACAAGAAAACCAAAATTGAAATAAAAATAAATAGATTAATAAAAAGACGGTCGCAAAGAAGAGAATTTTCTTTTCTATGCAGCCATCATCAACTAGGTTGTGCATTCGTGTGTATTTATAGTGAGTGGGTGAGAAAGTTCCAGAGCTATTCACGGTCAGGGGTCAAATAAATAAGATTAAAAAGTGTAATAAACACGGATATCGTATGGAAAACATTGTGGGATCATAACTACTGAGAAACGTGACTGTTTCTACAATTATGGACGAAAGACGTAGTGATAACAAAACAGAATGGAAGTTCGGATAAAAAAGAACGTTGTAGAAACATAATTCTGCAAGGAACTATTCAACCGGCATGTAAAAGACAAGCTGTCGTACTGGGTCACTTCAACATGCATATACCAGTTCACTTGCTCGTGTGGTACATTGGCCGTCCCATGCGTCCTCTTGTTAGACGTTCTCAAGAACACTGTCCAGGATGGTTAGTAAATGGATAACGCAGGGGTGTATACAGTTCGGTAACAGAACATTTGATGAATTCAGGACATTCAGTTCCATTTGGAAAGTCCTTCAAAGTCACATACAAAATCCGATCAAACCTTTCTCTCAAAGGAGTAAAATCAAGGCATCTGATAAAAGCTGAGACAATAGCAGTCCGGACGCTCTGGAAACAGAATTAGAAATTCTAACAGAAATTTCAATCCGAAATGGATACCCAATGAAATTCATCGGCAAAAATAACAAACCAAGAACTCGGAGAAACGAAACTTTAACTGCAACAAGAAAGAAACTTTTCATGAACCTGGATTTCAAGGGAGATTTAGCAAGCGATATTCTCAAGAGAAGGACCACATCATATCTGAGAAGAACATTCTTTGTAGCAACGCTAAGAATAGTGTTCTCCAGTCGCCCAGTGATCTGCAGAAGCCACAAGGACAAGATCTCGCATCTGACCAGTTCCATGTGCATATATCAGTTCACCTGCTGCTGTGGAGCCAGGTACATCGGTCGTTCGACGCGCACTATGTACAAGAGGATTCAAGAACACTATCCAGCATGGTTGCGAAAGGCAATAGTGGTGCAATAAGGAGTGCGATAATTGAACACCTGGTTAACCACTGATCAATCCATATCAACAATCGCCTCCTTTAATACAGAGTCAAGAATAACTTACCAAAAGCAATGCAGTTTCGTCTTCTTTGTGTCGCCGAAGCTCTGGCCATTCACACTGAAAAACCGGAGCTGTGCATACAAAAGAGGATTACTCAACCACTTCTACTGTCTTGGTAACAAATTTTTTGATTTGTTTTTTTTTATTTTGATGACCTAATTTTGTTTCTTTGTCTCTTCTTTAACTGCTTATAATTCTTGTATTCATTTAGAACTCTTACGTAATTTCGTATTCTTTACTTTGTTCCTATGTGCATCCTGTGTAAAACTGACTCATCAAACTATTCATATTACGTAACTTCTTTTAATAACTGTTTGTGACAAGTCATCACCTTTGTTACTACCCTAATTTCACTAACACCTAATTTTCTTGACTGATTTTGTATTACGTAACTCCAGTTACCAATCTTCGCCTCTTTAGTTAAAATAACTATAACCAATTGTATTTTTATTTGATAAACTTATTGTACACATACATACAAAATAACACATATATATTTGCCATTGTACAGCTAAGAAAATGAATTCGCCGAAAAGAGACTCTTCGCTGATCGATGTGTTTTGTTTTCATTAATGCCTGGATGGGGATTATACAAGAACAATAGCGATCCACAAGCTCAATCTCATATTATGTACTCAAAACAAATACGTCCAGCCGTTTTCCTTATCATGGCTAACATAAAGTGTCAATCATGATTATCCTATTACCTTTATTATTCAACCTTCATGTTTATTTCCGTTATTTTTACGTTTTTTAAAAGTTCCTATCTGTATTGCCACGCTTTTTTATCAGAACTTCCTGCCTACTTTGTTGTTACTATGTCCCTTTATCCCTAACTGTGCAAAAAAGTCAAGTTTCTCGGGAATTATTATCCTAAGGTGTTTTTTATCCTGCATTCCTGTTTATTACACTTTTAATCTTATTAATTTGACCGTTGATGAGGAATAGTTCTGGAATTTTCTCACTGACTCTCACTATAAATACACACAAATATACAGCCTTCCTATTAGCCAAACTGGTTGGCTCTCACGAGGTGTGCAACATAGATGGCACTGAAATAGAAACCAAGTCGGAAATTAAATACCTAGGCGTCATTCTATCTGCTGATCTTTCCTGGTCGTCTCATATCTTGGCGATTTCTAAGAAAATATTCCGTCTTACCTTCTACATCAAGAAGTTAAAACATTCTGGTATAACCCAACCCTTACTCCTACAATTCGTTAACTCTCGCATTCTGCCTATTATTCTCTATTGTCCCCCCTTAGTTTTTCCAGGGCTACTGAAGAAAGACTATAACATATTACGCAGGATGTTAAACGTTGTCAGCAGGGTAAGCAACGTGCCACTTAACCAGCTTGTTAATATTCTGGTCGACAGGCACATGGACTCATGTGAAAAATGGGCCAAATCCATTTTATCTAACTCACACCACCCTCTTCACTCACAACTCTCCCCTTGCATCTCATCAGGCAAAACCAGAAGCCTATATAGAAAACTATATGCTCGCACCAGCAAGTACAAAAACTCAACCATATCCTACTTAGCTCGTGTTCTGTGTGATAAAGAAAGCATTAGGCGTGACACCTATAATTCATTAAATAGTCAGTAGTACAACAGGACCTCGTCCTTCAAACTCATATCATTTACCGGTACAACATTTTCTTTCTTTCTTTTTCTTTTCTCTCTTTTTTTCTGTTATGTGCTGCTTTGTTTCTTTCTCTCACTTACGCCAGTAAATATGACAGCACCTACTTTTCTAACACCTTCAAACACTGTTTCAGCTTTACCTTTGTTACCGACATGCCAATGTGTTGTTGTAATAATGAACTGAGATTTCCTTAATCTATGTAGAATTCTATTTATTGATAATGTACTAACTGGATGCAATACTGTAGTAAAAATGCTGAGAATTCCATTCTGTATCACAAGTACTGTTTTGGAATAAAGCAAATTATTATTATTATTAATTACTCATTAGTAGATTGTATAGCATATTAATTTCAAAGTTTTTTTTAAAAATATTTTTTATTCCATTTTAGCCGTGTTCAGTGTTTATCTTTGAAAAGTCAATTGCTGATAAACTGCACAAGCCTAGAAGAAGGGATATAGTGACAAGCGTGCTGAAAAGAGATGTTCGATTGCTTAGCCAATTACATCATCCCAATTTGCTGCATATTATACATCCTATTGAAGAAACAAGGTATGCAAAATGATTTTGATTTGAAAAAATTCCATTTTTTTTCTGTCTTTTGACTGTTAAATTAACTAATGAGGAGTGGTGTTAAAAAGTAGTTGGAAACTAGTTTTTTCTAGATTTGGTTTTTCTCCCTTACCTGGTCGATTCAATGACGAAGCTTCCTCTTTGTCCGTTCTCGACAACATATTCAGCACAGGCTTCAATATAAAGTGAATTCTCCATGAATAATATAACAACAACACCAACCAGCACCAATCACCATCAACGGGCTAGATTAAGCAAAGGTTACCTACTTCAATTATCTAGGTAGATTCGTTTCAACTACATGCAGAACGGATGAAGATGTCAAAGCAAGCGAGGATCGGAAAGGCAAGATGATCCTTCATAAACCTGAAACCAGATAAAACGAAAAAAAAAGCATTTTTTGGCGCATCTGAACTTCAGTATGAGCGAAGGAGCTGTTCTTGAAAGTGTGCAGTAGACTATTGGAAGCGGTTTCGGTGACACACCAAGTCACCCGTGTTGGTTCTTGTTGAAACGAAGCTGCCTTGATAAATAAAAGAAGCAGTGTCCTTGAAATGTTTGCCTTTCGAGAGTGGTTGGTTTTTGTTATTGTTAGCGACCGAAACTTTGCACCGCTCATCTTCTCTGTGATCACTTGAAGTTATGCCTTCGCTGCCTGTCTCTTCTGCCAATCTCTTGGTTTTTGCCTGTAGACCCTCGAGTTTGTTTGAAATCAGACGTACATCGTCCGCGATGTTCAACACTTCTTGGTGGGCAACTGTATTCCTATTTCCTCGCCGTCACTCATGATTCTGCCTCAAGACACAATCCAACACAGTCAGGAATATCATCGGAGGTGAATCACTTTACATATGATCTCATCATGTAGCTGTTGAATGAATTTGATAAAGATTTGAAGCACTCCCTAATGTTGAAGCAGTTTGGAAATTATCTCTTGGTCAACGCCTTTGAAGGTCATTTCTGATTCTTTGGCACTGAGGTCAAGATTTGACAACCATTGTGTGCTCTGTTCGATGATGGTGCTTTTGCTTACTCCCGGTGAAGTTTTGCATCTGGAGCATTATTTTGTTTTTTTTCCGGGATAACACGACTTAATGTTTTGCTTTGTGTAGACAGGAACATGATTCTACACACATACTTGGTATTTTTGTGGCGACTGCTACTGATATGATTTATCAGTAGTATATAGAGACATTCATTGGCATGAAAACATCAAATAGCAGGGAGATAGATTTGATTTCAAAGAAGGCACATGATACATCGTTGTGGAGAGATACAGAATTACTACAACACGTAGATCTGTGCAAATTGTTCGTTGAAGATATTATTATTGTTTCCTTTAATTCCTAGAGGAACATAGGGCTTCAGCCGTGCGTCTCCATTGCGTTCGGTTCTCTGCTAGAGTCTTCACCTGGCTCCAAGTCTGCCCACAAGTTTCCATCTCCTCTTCACATGACCTCCTCCAAGTCACCCTCACTCTTGCACTGACGACCAACTCGCCGCTTCCCTTTCGGGTTCCACTCGAGCAATGGCTTGTCTAGTGATGTCACTTGATGGTTTGTTTCTCAGAGTATGGCCAATCCATCTCCATTTCTTCCTGCCTATTTGTTTCACAATCGGTTCCTGCTGGGTTGGTTCGCTCGTTGCCAGAGATCTCTGTTGCTGATCTTTTCTGGCTGGCCATCTGATCTTGAGTATTGAGCGAAGACAACTGGCTGTTGATGGTCTGTAGTTTGTTTGAGATGCTCTTAATGACGCGCAGTGCAAGTCTCTGATCCGTATAGTGAGTAGCACTGACTTCACATTGGAGTTGAAAATCCGGATCTTATTTTTGATACTGAGTGCTGTTGACCTCCACACAGACTTGAGAGTAGTGAAAGCTTGTCTTGCTTTTCCGATTCTTGCTTTGATATCCTCGTCAGTTCCGTCCGCCTGTAGTTGAAACGATGCTTCCCAGGTAGGTAAAGATAAGGTGAAGATAAGGTGTACACAATTCCAAATAAACTTTCCTTTGCTTAGTCTTCGTTTTGCACCGTCTCATTTTGAGAAGGTAGGCTTTCTTTTCATAAGTAGGAATGGTGAGGAAAGGATGTGTAAGCATTTGATAACAATGGGGATAGAGTCGAATATTTGATGATTTAGCGCTCACTAGCCAAGTAGTCAATCACAACCGACACAATCTGGACCTCTAGACACTGTACTAGCCACTAATAAGCCCACAAAAAGTGAGAGAAGGTTCAACAAGAACCCCAACAATTTCAACTTGTTCTCCACAGAATTGTTATATAATTTCTTATTAAACTGATTTAATCCAAACGAGAAAAAAAAACCAAATAAACATACCTAATTAGAGAGAAAAGAGTTTACCTTCATTCGCTCTGCTTCTCTTTGTTTACACAAACAATTGTGATAATCAACTTCAACTCTATTCTCGTGGATCTGTTGAATTTTATGCTCATTTAAGCGCAATAAATTTGACTTTTCGACAGTATATTAGTATTTGAACATATGTCCTCATATTTTACCCTAATGTAAACAAAATATCATAAAATAGGCGGATATATATATATATTTTGAAATATAACTGAGCAAAGTAAACGCTTTTTTAAAGAGGGGAATGTAGCGCAATCTAATCAGAGTTTCAATGTTCAATGATTACAATTATTATTATTATTTTGATTACAAGTAGAAGTAGTAGTAGTAGTAGTAACATTTATTACTTACCAATTTCTGCTTCATTAAAAAAATTTATTCAATTATAATAATTTATTTATGCATTTCAGATTATTGGTACATATATATGTATAATATTGTGTGAGTATCTTTCGTGTTGTCTTCATTAGTACCCATAGACTGCACACTTACAGACACATACAACAACCCATTCAACTAAGTTCCATTTAGCCAATTCCACAACTTTCAACCCCCCTTGAACTAGTAGAAAGTTTTGTGTTTCCAAAGAATTCCCAAAGCAAGACTGTTTGAGGATGTGTGTGTGTCGTGGGAAGGGTGGGAGTTGTGGGAGACTGATCTTCTATCCCTGATGAATACATACCTGTTTAGGTTGCTTGGGTGTTTTCCCTTTTTTTTGGTTTTTTTACACTCATATATCTATTTCACATTTTACCAAAATTCACCTGGGGTTTTATTTTTAAAAGAAAAAAAAGAGACTTTAAAAATATATTTTTCATGACGCCAACCACTGTGAATAACGTGTCTCCATTGAAATGAATAAAACAAAAGAATAGTTGGTTTATGGGGGAATAAAGAAACTAGCAGGTATTATTGCTCTACTACTATTTGTTAACTTTGTAATAGAAGATATTATATAATTCCTGAAACTCACTTCCTCAGTGTTGGTTTGCTGTTGGAGAAGCAGGAAATGCTGGAAAGCTGTTGCCTTCTGGTTTGAGATTCCTCGTCAATATGCACTCACCAGTGTTCGAACCTGGGACCTTCCTGTTGACCATTCAGCTGCTGAGACATCTGAATCAATAGCCCATGAATTCCAACTTCTACCTAATCCACGAAATATTTGACTCAACTGCCAGCCAATGTTATTGGCGAGTGACTGTTCTCCTGACTGTTTTCATGGATCCCACTGGTCATGGCTTCTTATTAGAAAACCAGGTAACATCCTGTATAATGCCTGTCACTAGTTAGTATTATATTCCTTAATGGCGGGGTCCACTGCTGTTGGTTTCGCCACACATCACGAATTAGGAGAAGTGAGAATCCACTGACTAAGAGTATGAGAACTCGCCTTGTTAACCGGAAGATTTCGGATTCGAACTCCAGGTGGGTTCGTACTGTTGAATGACTTTAAACTAGGACGGAACAACTGTTCAGTCCTCCTTTGTTTTCCTACGGTATCGTAGCTGATTTAAGCTGGTGATAAAACCTGCAAGTATATGCTTTCTCAAAATCATTGCATGTACTTTATTTGGTGTCGGTTTTATGACATAATCCTTATGAAATTTAGTGTTATAAATTTTGTTTCCTTAGGGGATTTCCGTAAAATTGTAGTTAGTGTTAGGTTTTGGTGATGTAACAAGGGAATTGGAATGAACTCAGCCTTGTGGAATAGACAAGTACAGAGTGATTACCGCTATCGACAGATCAGGGGCTTCTCATAGAACAACACCTGTGGCCATGAATGGTTCACTTGTAATATATATCTAACCCCTATTCAGAGTGAGACAAATTACAAATTTGATTGAAAATTCCTGGAGCAGAAGAAATCTAAATTTTGAGATTCTTGCCAATTAGAAGTGCTTGCTATAAGACGGAAAAATGTGCTCAAAATTAATTTATAAGAATCTGTGTTCATCAACTTCAAGATTTTTGCAGAGATTTCCTTGATTCTAACTTTGATGACCAACTGTTTTCCTTTGAAAAACCACTGAAAACCAGCCAGGACTACCTTTGAGCAGTTTCGCCCTAGTTTGAGACTCATCAGCAGTACGTGCCTACTATCCCACTGATCAAGGATCGACCATCCAGGTCCATCATTTTACAAGAATATCTCTGCAACCATTCATCCAATTGTGTTGAATCCAAAGATCCATCAATTCTCACTTTCTACAATTCGCAATTTATAACACGACGGTGAGCCAACATCAGCAGTGAGTATGTGTGATATTAGATGGTTGGAGGCAATCGTCAGGAAGCCTTGGACCTGGGTTTCGTGCTAGTTGACACTCAGCAGTCAACAAGGCGAATCTGAAAACTTGAAGTAACTCATGTCCCTTCTGAAATTCGAACCAGTCAGAGACGTTACCTTGTGCGCGATTCAGGCTCGCGATTGACCTCCTGTAGGACTATACTGGTGCAGACTGAATTCTATCAGTCAAGCTTCCTATGGCCGATTGCTTCCAACCATCTAATATCATCAAATCAATGTGCACCGTGATGGTGAGCTCCCTAGAATGGTGGCCACATTGCAAACCTGGCTGATAGAATTCAATCTGCACCAAACA